AAAGTCATTTTTCTGAGTGATGAAATCTTTTAATAAATAATGTCAGAATGGTGTTAGTAACGCAATGTTGCCACAGTGTATGTTGCTAATTGAACAACTATAGCCTGAGTTTGGACTTCTTTTCATCCTGGCTGTTAGATGTCCTGCATATTGAGAAGCAGCACAGTCTGATTGGTAGGAGGATCATCTATATTCCATATAAAGGACACAGACCTGTATTAGTAAACTGTATTTGTACAGCATGAAACAGTCAAAAGCTAATGTCAGACTTTTCATGTGAATAAACACAGGAGACAGTGCAGGCAGTGTGTTCCTCTTGTTTCAGAGAAAAGCTCTGAAACATTAACCTTGAGATGTTCACAATTGTGAGATGGATTATTCGATACATTTTCCACTAATCTTTCACACTGTTAGCACTGCTAACATTCTACCAATTTATTTCCTGTTTCTGCTTTGTATCTTTTTATTGTACTTGTATTTAGAGATATAGGTATGTGTCAACAGCAGCAATTAAATAATAAAACAGACAGACATAATAGCAGTCCCATAACATTTGCATAAACAGATATCACACTACTATGCCTCAAGATTTAACATGAAATCCTATGGTAATATTATTTAGCTCAAAGGGAGAGCAGAATGTTTATGATAGTTTCCCATAAATCTTAAAAATATCTCTACAAAATATAATTACAGTATCTATAAAGATATCTACAGAAATGAATAGTAAGTGGCTTCTATTTTCTAGCTCTCTTCTAGAATTAAATAAAAATTATAATTACAATAGTTCAAAACCCTATAATATTATTCTATATAAAATTTTACACATTTTCCAAATAATTATCTACAAAGCTCAGTTTCTTATCCACAAAATTCAATGTGATGCTTAAATAAGAAATCTGACACATATGTAAAAACAGTAATCCATAAAACATGCTGTTTCGTCTACATTACCAGGGTGTGCTGGTAAAACTAGTGACTCTCACAGCATGCATGAAGTCTAGTGCTATGCTACCCTATGAAGCAACCAAAGCAACAGAGGACAGGAGATAGCTCTTGTAGGAATAAAGTTCTGCTGTAACAGATATCCATCAACTGTGTTACCAACTACACAGACAATACTCAGATATCTAAGTACTACCTGCAAAAATCAGTTTGTGTCATTCCTCCTGCATTCAATGGCTCTAATACTCAAGGGTGAGTGAGAAGAAACTATACTATAGTCATGCATATAACTTACTATTATGCTGCTTTTTAGATGAGTATTGCTAAGATTTACTTACGTAAGATGATATATTAAAATACATTTAATGTTAACAGTATAAAATGAAATACCAAACTGTGGGAGTAAATGCAATTACATATGTATGCATACATCTGTACACATATACACTCAGTATTTTTTCCTTTGTAAAGAACATGCTAAAGAAGAAATAAAAACTACTTACACCAGAATAGAAAGGCTCACCAGACACACAGATCACATCCTGCTCCTGGATCATCAAAATATCTTTGGCTAAGTGCAGTCGCACTTTGAAAGGCTCCTGGTTACCATCCTGCAGCAAACAAACTCCTGTCTTTGTCTTCAAAGGAAGGAATAAAGAAAATAAGTTTTTTTTCAGTTAGCACTTTGCATTGCTAAAAGTGGCATTTTGAATCAAAACAGTTGAGACATAGGTACAGTTACCATAAATACATTAAGAAACATCCAAAACTATTTCCAGTGATCACTTCATTTATTTACTGTGTTTAGACTACAAGAGAACAATGGTTACAGTATCAAATAGTGAAGGCAGATTTTTCAATAATAAGGTTCTATTTCACTTCAATTTGTGAAACTCTCACATTGCTTCAGATGAGCTGTGCTCTTACTGCCCATCCTTGTATTATATGACTGGTCACTTGAATATGAAAAAAAAGCTGATGTTCCACATGTTACAAATATTTTGACACAGAAGTATTTACAATGACACCTCCAAACTAGCCAGATGTGAGCATCAACATCAACAGTTGTGGGCTTTTCCTTATCTGTGCGCACAAAATTGAGTTACTCTTTTATGTCCCTTTTCAAATGATGATGTTGAAGTTAAGAATAAGAGAAAAGAAATCAAATTATTCAACTCCCTCTAGTAACTTAACTCTTGGTCCATTTCTGTATTTTACATTCATAGCTAAAGACCAGGAATTCTGTAAGATTCTTCAATAAGCAATTTTGCAATAATTAAGACTGGTTTTGTGGTAGTACCTGTTTGTGATTTTTCTGGGGGGTGACATTATATAGGACAGGGCTGAGCAGTGAAAATGTTGGCATGTGTAAGCACCACCAATGTTTAATATTTTTTTCCCTGAAGTCTGTGTTGAAAACAGCACTGTTTATAACACTTCATAAATGGATGAAAGTCCTATTGGTAGAGCATTTTTGATATGAGAAATCTGCTTACAAACAATCTAAGAATTTAGCCTTATAGCATGCAATTTACCGGTATAAGATATATATTTGCATAGACACAGATATACATATGTGTATCCACATTTGTATCTCAGAAGAAAATTCACATCTAAAAAGTATTTAAAATCTTGGATTCATCAGTGCCAATAATAAAACTTTCACTGTCTTCATAGAGGTCAGATTTCAATCCACCACCTGTAAAGAGTTGGCTTAAGAGGAGATCAAGGAAACAAAAGTATTTCTGTGAACTTTAAGTGCCAAGGTTGACCTGTCTGAATCTGAGGGCTCTTTCTCAGACAAGAGTTTAAAAGAGGATTTGGAAGATCTTCCCATAATGTGCTCTGATAGCCTACATCCATAGCATGGAGAGAACAAACACAAATATGGAACTGACAGTAGGCAACTGGCAGAAGGGAAGCTTAAACCTTTCTCATGAGGCTTTAAAAGAGGTGGAAAGGTCGAGGACAATCTTTAAATAGCTCTATATAATGTTCCACATGGACAAATTGTTCCGTCACTTCTGCTCCATATTCGATACTCAAACTTTGGAAATTGTTTTCCCTTGGATGCCAGGAGCAAATGTGTATAACGCAGCGATGACTTAGAAAGTGGCTCCGATATTCTTTATATTCTTTTTAAACTAAATAAGAAAAGAGTTCCATGCACTGAACTCACACCAAGATCAGTGGAAGCTCTGGTCAAAAGATATCATACACCTTTGTTTTTGTATTTAGGTGTATTTTTTTTTAAACAGGATGAGATGGAAACTCATTGACATGGGCAGACAAAATAATGGATCACAAAAGGAGAAAGGTTTTCAGTACCACTGAAAAATTCCCTCTCATATCATACACCAAATTTTACAATATTAAAATAAAGAGAATGGTTCTGTCCTTGTAACTTCTGCTTTACAAACTAAGATGCCCTCTCTCCATGGAGCTGTGAAGTAAGCAGTAAGTGACAATGGAAGTTGAACAGTCGACTGTAAATAACTCTGCTTAAATAAAAGGGGCTAGCTACCACTTACAAAATGCCTTTCTTCTGCACCAGATTTTCAAATGTGCCTTTCCTCCTCCCTGGATAACTGGCAATCGAATAAATTTTGCCTCTTATACACTGAGTATAGTCACTGCCTTACTTGATTGCACATTTCTGATTTGGTCAATAACTTCATAAAATCTCCAAAGAGTCTTTCTATAAAAGCTGAGGGGCTTCTTTGTGGGAATTAGAGGCAGATAACCATAACAGACACAATTAGCCATTACAATAAAATCATAATTCAAGTCAGTTTCTAAATGCATGTAGGCTGAGCTTATTCAGACTGAACAAGAAAATCAAGCTTGGGAACAGCAAAGTATTTTAGTCCTTGGAAAGACTGATCACACACACTCAGAGATCTTATTTACATCATACACTCTGAAGTGTAATGAACCACTTTACTGTTGTTGGGCTTTATGAAAGCTGGTTTACGATACAGTTCAAAATTAAATCTTCAATTATACTACCTACTTCCCTCTCCTACCTGAGCGCAGCACTAACAACCATGAAAAAGGAGAAGAATGTAGTTCAGTTTCATTAGGTAACATCAAAAGAGGACCTTAAAAATAAAGACTGAAATTTAATTACTATGTTTCATTTTTTCTGCTGAAACTTTTTTTTTTCTGCTCTTGCTCCACTCCTTCAAAGCATCCCATAAACTGAATCAAATAAAGATATGAGCTCCTGCACCCTTAGCCAGAGCTGGAACTTAGGGAACACTACTTGCATATATACTTTTATGTAAATTAACACATCAACATTTTTCATTCATGTGGCTCTAGTAAAATTAATCTGATTGGAGGGAAATCAACTCTCTAGACTGCCCTGTCTTACATTTGAAGACCTTACAAGGTGTGCATGTGTGTGTGTGTGTGTGTGTGTGTGTGGTGTGGGGGTGCAGGCTGTGGCTTTTTTCCCCATTACTAATTCTTTAAGAGATTCCATGCGAGGGTGTGCGAAAACTTTTCCCTTCAAGCCTTCTACATTTCACTGGCAGAGGGCTGTGACCTACCCCTGTCTTACAGCAATAAGACAGCACACAGCACATCAGCCAAAGCACTGTAACTGTCAGCATGAGGTCATGCAAGGCACCTGCTTGTGTTCAAATGTGTGGTACACTGCATCACCTTACAGCAGACATGGCTAGAGAAGCACAGTTCAGCTGGTAACAGTTTGTAAAGTCAATGCACATTGACTGTATGTTTGAGCCCAAATCGCCAAGAACATTGCCCTGCATGCATTCATGCCATCCTACTTTCTTCATCCTATTTATAGAGTTTGGCAACTGTTTCAAAGAAGGGAAGAAAACTGAATGTTTGAAGTTGCACGTTTATTAAGTAGATGAGTTGTGCTAAGGAATGCACATGGAGGCAATATAAAGTGGTGAAAAAACAAGTTTCCATATGGGACAAGAGTCAGTGACTTCAAGCAAAAGCAGGGATGAAGGAATGTATTGGCACCCAAGTAACAGACTCAATGAATGTTGCACATGCACAGTGCTGCCACTGCCATCTCATTCTACACCCTTACAAGCTGAGTTAGACAAGAACACTGATGTGGTACAAGCTGATGCCCTTGAAACTGCTTACAGTTCCTGAACTAATATAACTACATGAGGGGCTGAAAACTGACCCCTCTTTGCTTTGCCACACCAGTCTGTGGTGAACTTTCTGCTTCAGGTCACTATCAGAGAGCAGTATAGGTTGGCAGTGCCCTCAAGGTAGACTGTTTCTCCAAAGAATATGGTCACACTCTGGTCATTATTAACAATGAGGCAGTGAAAAAAGGCCACGTAAAAATCTTCTCCCATTATACCCTGACTTACAGCATGCTGTCCATATGGGTTGTGTGTAAGATCTGGCTCCAAAAACTTTCCTAAAGGGATTTTAGAAATGCTTATGTACCAAAACCAGCTTAATGCAACATATATGGCCTTCACAAATATTTAAGAATTAATTTCAGAGGTAACACATATGAAAAGCACATTTTATACATTTATGCTAGCAGCTGAGTCTCTACCAAATGTACACCAAGATTAATACTGCAGGAGAAACATCTTTAAAGTTATCCATTGATGAAGAAGGCAATTTCCTGCAGAACTTCCAACATAATTTTTTAAAAATTTATCTGGCCTATATAAGGCTGCTGGCAGATTTTGCCTTGAAGACTTTTCCTTTTTGTTTACATTTTCCCTATTGCTTTCCTTCGCATTTATGATCAGAAAAAAAAATCCTAAATTGTTTTCTGTTTTGTTCTGGATGAGACTTACTCACTATTTCAGGCAATTTTAAATTCTCATCATTAGTTTTCAAGACATGGCTATATCTTTTGCTTTATGATATTTTATCTATAATTTTTGCCTTATGGTAATTAAAAAAAAATTTGGTTAGCTTTGCCTTTTCTGGTTTCACATCAGTAGGAAGACTTCAACAGATATCCCAGAATAGTTTAGTCCATGAACCATTGGAAAAAAGGAAGAGTAAAAAAAAAAATCTCAGCACATTTTCTATGCAAGGTGACCTGGATTTTTAGTTTCTGCTTTGACTGATATGTCCTAAAATAAACTAAACCTGTGCAATTTGGTTTTAAGCCCTGAAATGTATTTCTACTATCAGGAACCTGATACCAGTAAAAAGAATGGGTTACAGAAACTGCCTTAAATTTGTACACAGTTCCTTAGATTAATATCTACCCTTTTGGATGTGTATTTGAACTGAGGCTGACCTCTGAGTGTCTGGAGATACGTCTGTCACTGCTTTATAATCACCAGTATAATAATAAAAAGGGAAATTGATTCAGAGATTTAAGGAGGCAATGTCAATTAATTCAAGGGGTAGGAATATGTGTCAGAATCACATAAAGAATGTTTTTTAAATGGCCCAGCTACACATTCTTTGGAGGTGTTGCTAACTTAAGTGAAAAGCACTTATATTGTCAAAAACTGGAATGCAGCCCAGACACCCAGGGAGGTGTTCAGCTTGTCATTCAGAGTCTCTTCTATCAGATAGGAACATTTTCCAATCCAAATAACAGCAAGTCCATTCCTGCATACGAATTGTATACTCCAACCTGACAGAACCACAGGAAAACTCTGAATTTGGACTTGAACTTATTTTCCTTTGATTTGTCAGGTATTTGCCAGATAAGTGTTTGGCTGTGGTATTCTTCATAAGTGATTTCCATGAAAGAATAAAGTGTTACAGAGAAAGTCCTTGTTTCATACAGTCTGCAATTCCACATGTAAATTAGACACAAAAAAAGGTATATATATGAGCTTCCTACTGAACTAAGGTACATTTGTAGAACAAAAGTTTTCATTTTTCTAATGCTAGAAGGATGCAACTTTGATGTCTGAATTGTCAATGAGCTTACTGGGACTAGAAAGCTGAGTCTAAGAGATAAGATAACATAAAATTGAAGGCTACTGAGACCATTCATGTTTCTTCACATTTACTCACCTATTATATGACATTCTAACAGGCATTGCAAATTACAAGTCATTTTCCATCTTGTGGTTTTGGGATAAAATTCTCAGTTGAAGCTTCATTTAAGAAAAAGTCAACAAACCCAAGGTATTAGAAATTCCAATATTACTATTTGATAGGATTTGTAAACAAATGAAAACAGCAGCTTAGGCTGAAATGTGCAAATCAGAAAATGGCATAAAGGGGACCAGAAAGAGTCAAAAAAGTATATAACAAGATTTAGGGAAGGAAGCCCAGAGGAAGTCAAAATATGGCTTAAAAATTAAAACATATTCTGTGGCAGACAAAAAAAGCCCCAACTAGATGGATGTTGACACAAAGGTCACTAAACCTCTGAAACACATTTGTGAAGTCTACAAGAATATTCACAGGATTCATAAAGTGCATGACAAACACCATTTACCAATTCAAACTAATCCTTCAAAGAAACAATGGACAGTACTGTGCAAACAGCTGAACAGATTATAAGGAGGAAAACAAATGGGGAATTTACAAACTTAATTAAGCTTGATGCTATATTTGGGGGGGGAGGAGGATGGAGAGAGCCAAGCTATTAGAAGTAAAGGATGAGATTTCAAGAGTTGGAAAATTATAAAAGTTAGAAAGCTGCTCATGCAGCTTATTCATAAAGGACATGAAAAATATGAACTTTTAAAAAAAATTAGCTCAGAGGAAAATATTCTAATGCCTTATAATCATCCCAAGCCTACAATTTCAACAGAAGGGTACTTTCACTGCAGAGGACAGTATTATGCCAGAGACTGAGGTTATCTTCCAAGAGATAGTTTTCAGAATATAGAATAAGGTCAAGTGAGTACAGGAGAGCATTTAAAGAACCCAGTGACTCTATGATTTATGCTCTTGTAAAGTTCAGAAAGCTCAGGATAAAGGGTAAAAGAGGAGCTGGATAGTCTTACGGTTTAGAAATTGTTTAGTAACTACAAGAACAAGTAGAATGGATAATTTGCTGATCAGTGAGGGAAAAGAGCATGGAATACAGAATAATCAAATATGAAACAGTGAAAAACTTCCCACAACTTCCAAAGTGGAGAAGCCACAACAAAAAAAAAGAAAAATTCCCCTCATCAGATACCAGATAGACTCCCCTAAAAACAAGTGTGTGTATGTAAGACCTCCTCTTTTTGTAGTGCCATTTGAATCGTCTAGCATAGAAGCTATTTTCTTGCAGAATAAAACTACTTTAAGATGTCTTGAAAGACAGCACAGCCTAAAGATAAGCTGCTTCAGGGAGAAAATAATCATTAGAATCATAGCAATCATCTTGACACTGACAACAAACTCTACCTGTCTACACATATGTGTTTAAAGTCTCATTATAATAGCACTGACTGTACCATTCAGACCTGCAGTAGGAACTTGGGCACAAAGTGCACATGTAGGTACCTAAAAGTAAACAAGACCATTTCAGTACCCAAATCTCAAACCAAATCACACTAACAGACACTAGAAAAATAAGGGACGCATGAAATAAGGGATGCAGCATCAGTACTATGAAAGAACTAAGGTTCCCTTGGAGACATTCAATGCACTAGAGCAGCAGTTACTTAGAATGAAAAGCCACTTAAGGAAAAAAATTGAGTATGTCATGGACACAATGAAAAATGTACTTTAGCCTCAGTACATCTATGTGGAATATTTTGGTTTTATGCTAATTGAAACTCAGCTCAAACCATTTACTGCCATTAGTAAGGATGGAAGTACCAACAAGGGTCTGAGCACCACTCATCACTTTGGTGGAGTGACGTCAGTTCTTCTACAGTGGTAATGGTTATGGGAAATGAAAGGTGATAAGATATTCAGATAAAAGGAGAGAAAGCAGAGGAGAAGAAGAGAAAGATCAAATAGTCAAGATGCCTCATAACAGCTTTTATTGCCATTATCAAAAACTGTTTAACAAATATTTTGGCATAGAAGACCAGATATGTCTCTCCCAGAAACACAGTATGATAGGCAATTTGATGTAATAGGGGACAGAGATGATAGAAACCTGAAAGTTGGAAACATACTAGATAGATAACCAATTAAATATCAGATGAAGTTTTGGTGACAAATCTGGTAAATGTAAAGGTATGAAGAAAATGCTACTAAAAGCAATAGCTGAAGGTATAGACCAGGAATTGAAGCACCTCATTTAATTTTATTTATCTGAAAGCTAAAGGAGTTTCTTCAGGGCCTCCAGATTATGGGGCTTTTTTAGGATGGGTCGAGTCATCCTCTCATTTCCTTGTCTATCATGGAAGCTCCAACAAAGCAGCTGGTAGTTAAAGAGCTAAATTTGAAACCAATGCCCCCATTAGAAGCTAGATACAGCCTCATATGCCAAGTCATCTTTCTGTGGCTGCTCTTGTCATTACTGCTGCTGGGCACAGAATAAAGTTAACTGCCACTAAATAATCTATACTAGTCCACAGTTTAAATAACAACATAAAAACCCCATGAAAATAATGTGCATCTGTCTCTTTTCCTGAATAAGTGCATTCAAAAAATATATTAATAAAATGAAAACCAAAATGCCCTTAATAACATGCTTTTACTTTTAGACAGCTGTGAAGTGGTCAGAAAGTTGGAATAGGTGGTCACTGCAGGTCCCTTCCAATCGAAAGTATTCTATTTGACAAACCAAACCTCAAAACCAAACCTCAAAACCAACAAGAATGTTTTCTTCCACACAAATAATCTGGGGCACACTGTTAACAAACTTAGGCTGCACATGGAATCTTCTGAGGTATTAAAGCCTGATACATACCATCCTGACAAGCATGACAGTATTATTTCCCAAAGGCAAGTTTCATTTTAATATTAGATTTTAACCCTACTGCTCCTTTCAGAATATTGTAATGATTTCATGTTCTTTAGCCTGCTTACTTTCTCTTCTCTTCTAATTTATTTCAACTGATTCTCAAGTCACAATTGGTTTTAGCTGCAGTTACTTCTTGGTTCTAGTGCCATTCCCACCCCTTCACTTCTTTTTTTCATGGGATAATACACTTACAGCTCTAGCCAGTTTGCTTGTTCCCAGTTCTAACTTCCTAAACATTGTGATTTTCAGTGTACAGGTAATTGTCATATTTTTAATTATAATAATGCACAGACATCATTACATAATTTAGAGTAGATTGTTCTCCCTGTGTCTCGATTGCTGAAGTTGCTAAAACCACATTCAAACAATTTATACATAGACAATCCCTGAGTAAATAAGATGCCCTTTTTAATGTCTACAAATACATCTCATTTGCTTTCTTTAAGGCAAAGTTAGTATGAACACAGAAAGCAAAATACTTCCCCCATGTCTACTGGAGGGGGACGAAGTACTTGGCATTGACATTATGAAACTATATCTATTTTAAGCAAAAAGAACTCTCTTACCTCACTAAATCTGAATGGAATTGCTTTTCATTTCGGCCATCTTCACAGCTTCCCTTCTCTCCCCACCCACCTTTTTCCCATATTTGTACATTTCCCCCTTGAATCTCCTGAACAGCATCAGACAGATTTCTGACTCCATTGATGTATTTTCCTCATGTACAGGCTCTCGGATATAAGCACTTCATGAAGAGCAAAGCTCACACCAAACATAGCTATCTGCCCCTACATTGTGTCTAAAAAGGTAAATTGGAACAGAGAGAGGTGAGGTCTAGTGATGAATACACCTGGGCAAATTCTTTTATCTTCTACTACAAAGTCTAACTACCACCATGAAGTGATCAGCTGAATAACTTATATTTGATTATATAATTCCTAACATTCCAGAAAAAAAGGGTGAAAAAACTAATTTTGCATATAAAAAGGATTAAAAGTTCATTGATTTTCATTCTACTATAGCTTGAAAAGAAAAATATCTGATCTTACCTCTTCACAGGCAGTCCTGAAATCCATGTGCTATGACACAGCAAGTGATATTTGTCTAAAATGAAGAGAAAGATTTCATCAGAATGAAATAGATATAGCAAAACATAAAAGTTATCTGTCTGAGCTGAGCAATTGACTTCTCTTTGTTAGGTCCAGTTATAGTCACTGTTTATATGAAGAAATTAAGAAAGTTTCAACAGAATTAGGAAGTGTAAGATGTTAGAAGTTGTACCTGGTTCTTATAAAGTACACAACCTGGTTTCTTGAACATAATCAAAGGAATGCTTATTTTCCATCACCTCCTTCCTTTCACAGGGCATTCAAACATACTTTTCTTATTGCAAATGTAACCTTTTTTTTTAGTGTTGTTTTTCATATTTTTGTTTCAAAAGTAAGAGTACACTGTAAAGTAGCAAAAATAGAGACAATTGTGTGTTTCTCTTCAGAATACTCTCTCTTCTAAAAAACACCATAGTGGGTTTTTTGCTTTTCTCCCCTAATTAAAAAGCAGCATGCACCAATACCTTTTGTCTCGCATTTTATTAATATACCTAATCTCTCCATGGAAGCCAGTGTCATTTAACAGTGTGCTTAGTTTGCAGAAATATTTATGAGTTGAAAAATAAATGTTAGAAAAGTCAGGAATATCTGTGAGTGCTGGCAAAATGTCACACCAAATCCTGTGATTATTACTTTGCCTGGCCTTTACCTAAAGTGTATTCATCCCAATGCACACTTATGCATTCATTTATTTATGTGATAAAGCCACTGGAACAGGATGTTAGCAGAGGCTAATAACAGTGTCCTGCTGCTGGTGCTGCAATAGAAACACTCATGCATCAGTCAATAATATTTTCAGGAAACACAAAACAATCCTAGGCAAAACAGTGATTTCATTCAATGGCTGGAAAAAACAATCCTGTAATAAAATTCTCTCTATCAAGCATTTTGCTGCTGCTCTGTATTAATTATGTGCTTGCAATTATTTCTGTAAGTATAGTACTCCATTTTCCAGCATAAAATTTGCCCCATTAGCCTAAGTTTAAAATAAAATTTAAAACCTATACGCCACATATTATAAAAATTTCAGTACTAACAATAAAACCTCTTAAAAACAAAATCTCTTGATTAAGCCCCTTGATTTGTTTTGCTGCCCCGGATGCATTTTTATTAAGCTGAAGCGCACACACACATATGAGGTTAATAAGCTCTATTTACTGAGCTTGCTGGTTTGCAGTCTGTGCTCTAGACTAATTTCTAGCAGACCTAGCCCAGGTTGGCTAGGTTACAATTCCGAAATTTAAAAGGGACCTGTCATCATTCCTTCCTTACCAGCTTTACAAGAGCACCAAGATCCAATAAAAAACTGTATCTGTAATTCTGCTCTCAAAATGCCCATAAACTCAAGGCCACTATTACTGTCTTGAAGGTTTTCCCTCTGACGGGACAGTCATTGTGCAACAAAATATCTTTTCTTGTCATCTTTACAAACTCCTTTTTCAACTGAGTAGGCTGTAGTGGGAAAGGGGCTTTATTCAACTTATCAAAGTATTCTGAGGACTTAGCTTTCTGGAAATAAAAATGCATGTATCTTCAAAACATAAACTTAAGCACTGCACAGTGCTCTTCCTTCTTGGGCCCTGATTATGTCAGGTCACTAATTCTTACTGCAGTCAACAGTGTATTCACTTATGTTCTGCCTTATTAATAAAAGTTCTGCAAAGTTCAGGTTTGGGCAACTTTGGTTCTACAATGACAATTCTGCTTGATTGTCTTTTAGCTACTCTGATCTAAATCCGATCTAACCCAGGTCATTTCCACAACAACAACATTTTCTTTGTTGTTTTAATGTGTTATGCATTTATTTACTTATTTCAGGAATATTTGAATTATCACACAGAAGAACAGTCAAGAACAACCAGGTTTTGCAGCATCACAGCTGATTGTATATACAGCTCATGATCTAAAATTACTCCGAATTATACTCACACAATAATTTAGCAACCTTAAAAGCATGAAATTTCACAGGAATACCAAATTCTTTATTGAAAACCCCTTTATACCCTTTGTAACCCCCTTTAAAGAATCCTAACACTTTTAAACACCAGTGCGATTAGCTCTAGTATGCTCAAATTCTTTTTGAAAGGCCATAGGTCTATCTCTTACAGCTTAAGGGCTCTCATGGCAAACAGAGCCCTTGGCTTTCAGAGAGACAGGTCACAAACCATAAATGTTGATGAATCTACCTGGCAATCACCTCGGTGATACCTCCTTTCCCTCCCTACATGCTACATTAAAAATAGGCAAAATAAAATGTACTACAAATACTCTCCTGACATCCATCTCCTACTAAAATAACTTCTCTAGTTCCAACACAAAGGTCACACACAGAGTTTTCTCTGGGATGGCTGGTTAAAGGCATTTTTTCATTATATTTGACAAGAACTTTTACTAATAAAATGTTGTCCAAAATGTAAAGCTGAAACTACACAATTCTCAACACAAAATCACATTCATTGCAATGACTGTACGTGTTTCTCAGGCATGAAACATCCCAGTCACTAACCTCTGCAGCATAGCTGCCACTGCTTTAGCTTCCCTCCATTTCCTACAGATTCTTGTCTGCAGCTGCACACAGGGAATTTAAGCCCATTATCAATGTTCTTTTTCTATCAGCAATTTTATAACACTTGATATTTTATAAACAGCACATAGAAGGTTTGATTACAAAGTGCAGTACCTCATAAATCATCTCAGAAACATCATTGTTTCCAGCATTTATGCCCCAAATAAACACTCTAGATAATTAAATTACAGGAATACATATCATGCATCATGCAGAAACGCTATATCATATGCTGGTAAAATGCCCCAATGGTTAGTAATTGTCTCCCCCAGTAATACATGAAAAAAGGCAGAAAATATAAACACAAGTAATTTTAAAAATAAAACATTTATAAAAATATAAACTGTGAAACCCACTACTTAGAGTTATTAGTTATAAGCTTCTGGCTGATCTCTGGAACCTCATCTCCAAATCACAGGCACTTTCACCTGAACATCCTTCAAGTTCTCCTAGGAGGTTCCTTCAGCCTCACCTAGACAGCCCACTGGTTACTAGCCCACAGTCCCCTTCAGCCTCAATATTTGATTTTTTTTTCTTCTTTTTCCCTCTCCCCCACCCTTCAGTTGCTTTGGGGCAAACTGTGCTCCAGAAGGTAAGAAAGGAGCTGCCTGTGGCTTTGAAGGGAGGAGGTGCAGAGGAAATAGTGTCAGGACAGAGCAGTCAGTGCAGGTACAGAGGGTGCCATGGGCAGCACACATTACTCAAAGAAGAACAGCTCCAAAAGCAGTGAGGCTTCCTCTGAAATGGCTAGGAACCACTACAATCAAAGATTTGCAAACAAGCAAGCTCTGAAAAGTTAACTTGCCTTCCTTTCAACTTGATCTGCAATCTGCATTTCCTCCAAAACTGAGTTACCAACTTATTTAGCTCATCTCTGCTGATAGATGTAAAGGAATTAATGTGTAACAGACAGGTTGGGAACAGAATTTGACACCCCCTTGACAGAACAAGTAGTTATTCAATACTGAAGAAACATTTACCAAGCAGTATTATCACGGCACTTGTGTTCTAAAGGGAAATCAATGGCTAAAACATAACGGTACAGATGAAGGCTATGGCAACCCTCAGAGGCAAAGCTTCATTTAGGATAATGCACTGAGCACTTGAGCTATGCTCTGATCTTATTATAATAAATCAGGTCATATTCTAGCGGTATAATAGATGTAATTTCACGAAGTACTTCCATGACTGAATACTCCAGTATGCTTAATGAAAGGAGATAGCAAACAAAAAGAAAATTTCATGTGCACACAACAGTTAAGAAGAGACACTTTGTGAAGTGGAAATACCACAAGCCAAGTAAAATACGATTGAAACACAAGTAAGAAATGCTTCATTCTCAAGTTTACTTTGCACAGTAATAATACAAGAATACAGTACTGTGTGCACAAATAACAGCTTTATGGAGAAATTATGCATTATCAAATGCAGTCTAATTTAGCATATGATATCATTGCAGCTTGTATACATCAAGTATGATTGAGATAAGTTAAAAGAAATTCTTATTCAGAACTTTCTGAATTGCTAACTGGGAAACAGACTAAAAACATGTTTCAAAGGCACAAATACCAGATCAGCAACTACTTAAGACAGTAGTTTATTAATAAATGTCATGTTTGCCTTTTCAAGTCCTTCTTCCTCCTCCATTCTTACCAACAGCTTTTGTGCTCTACATTGTGGAGATGTCTGAAGGAAATCATATCTGTCTTTTTTGAGTGTGTTAGGAAATTAGACACATTTTTTTTACATTTTCTTAGCAATCACTAAAATTAAACTCTAAACAATCTCTACTGTAAAAAGGGAAAGAAGACTTAGGAATTATCCTTATAGCATAGCTATTCCTTTGTGATTTACAGGAAATAAAAATATTGTTTTGAAAAAATGAAACTAGCTTGCCACAAGGTCTTTGGTACTGGAAGAGTGGTCAGAGGCATGGAGACAGAACAGCAAATCAAAGGTGCAGTTGAGCAACTGCAGATTAACAAACCCTTATTCAGTAACTGTCTACCAGAAAACTTGAGTTGTATTTTGGTTGAACACTGAGTTGCTTATGTTCAGTTAACATAATGATTTTTAATAATATATATATTGGACTCTTCGGTGAAAAATTGCTCAGTGAGTTGGGAACAGACAGCCTGTAGATCCAAACACAGCCGAATACTTCCTGCACATGAAGGAGGATCTATATATCCCTTGCATAGAATTACAGCTTTAATAAATTAGTTTAAGTTAAAGGATGCTCATAAAGTTGAAGGACCCTTGTGTGTCTATCTATATGTCAATCTGATAGTGCAAGGACTGAGATGAACTTCAGAATCAGCAAACCTGTGCACTTAATTTGCAGTGAGGAAAACAGTCACCTGACAAAGCTTTTTAACAAAATGTCCAGCACTTAGCAAAGCTCATGCTTCAAAAGAATTGAAGTTGGCAAT